AGCCTGCTATTAAAACTGTGTCATCTTCATACCTGATGTTATTAATATTTTCTCCATTTACTCTGAGGCCTGGACATTCTTCGTGGGTGGTTGGCCGGTGCTCTGGTGTGGTTTGTGCCTTCTTTCCTATCGAACATCTATCGTCCTTATCTCCCCTTCTTCTTTTTTTATGTTTATTACTCTCTTGTAACACCTCTAATCTTCTGGTGCACATATGACCTTACGCAGTTGCGAGCGCCGTAAAACCTCTACTAAAACTAAAACTAAAAGGACGTTCTTCTATGTTTCTAAGGATTGTTTCACTGTTTATGTTAAAGAGGTCTGGTGACATAACACATCCTTGCCTCACCCCTCGCCTAATCTGTATATATATATATATATATTCACTGTATTCTCCATTAATTTGTACGGCAGCTTTTTAAATGGTCCCAGTACAAATAATTTCTGATAATTCTTAGATCTTTTCCATCTATGTCTAGCTTTTCCAGTATTTTAAATAGCTCATCATGTCTAACTTTATCGAACGCCTTTGAATAATCTATGAAGCATAAATACAGATCTTTCTGTGCTTCAATACATCTTTCCATTAATCTTGTTAAGGTGAATAAAGCATTTCTGGTGCCCTTGTCAGGAACAAAGCCGAATTGCATTTTAGATATCTCTGGTCTTACACTTTTTCTCAATCTTCCTTTTATTACTCGCAGCAATATTTTTGTAAAATGACTCATAAGGCTATTTGTTCTATGCATATCACACTCAGTGGCACCTAGTGTTTTAGGTAAAGCTATAAAAACTGACTTCATCTTATCTTCTGGGATCTCACCGCTGTCATAAATAGCATTTAGGAGCTTTGTTGTTATTTCAGTGCCTAGTTCTTCAAGCGCGACAATCACTTCAACTAGAATATTATCTGGTCCTGTGGCTTTTCCTTGTTTCATTTTCTTAATGGCAGCTTGTACTTCTGCTTTCAGTATAGGTGGTCCATTTATTTCATTCTTTTTTACCGGTTTTTCTCCTCTATTATCTTGGAAAAGTTCTTCTATGTATTCTGACCATCTTTTTATGACATCCCCGTTGTCCATTAGAATATCCCCTCCCTTTGATCTTTTGCATCCTGTATTTGAGCATCCTTTTATCCCACTTACTTCTTTGATTTTGGAATGCATGTATTTGCTGTCTTTGTTTTGGTTCTTCTCTATTTGTTGACACTGACCATTTATTCATGTTTCTTTTGCTTCGTTGCATTTCTTCTTTATTTCCCAGTTTAAGATGTACTTTTCCACATTTGATTTTACCTTTCTTCTCTCTTCCATTAGTTTTAATGTCTTGGGTCATCCATTTTTTAAAAGCTTTTTTAGCTTTCGGGGGGGGGGGGGGGATAATTTCTTCCACAGCTTCCATTTTTGAGTCTTTCATTTTCCTCCATAGCTCTTCCAATTTAGTAATGTATTCCAAAGCCTGAAATTTATTTCTTACATCTATGGAGAAACGTTCTTTCATTTCTTGATTTGTCTTTAAAAGACCTATGTCAAATTTAGGTTGATATTTTGACTTTTTGAGTTTCTTTAGTCTTATCCGCATTTTACACATGACTGGTACATGGTCATTATCACAGTCTGCTCCTGGCAGTGATTTAGATGATTTTATTGTGTTTCTAAAACGTTTCTGAATAAGTATGAAGTCTATTTGATTTCTACTTCTATCGCCAGGACTCTTCCAAGTGTATCGTCTTCTTGGGTGATTTTCATACCAGGTGTTTGATATCATAAACTTATTTTCTCTGCACCATTCTACCAGTCGTTCCCCGCGTTCATTCTCTTTACCCAGTCCCCATGGCCCAACTATATCTTCTATACGTGTACTTCCTACTTTGGCATTAAAGTCTCCCATGACTACCTTTACATCTTGTGGTTTTAACTGTTTCATTGCCTTATCAAGGTCTTCATAAAAAGTCTCAATTTCCTCGTTGTCGTGCTCTGATGTTGGTGCATATATTTGGATGACACCTATGTCAAAAGGTTTTCCCTCTAATTTAGCCACGATGACTCTATCTGACACTCCCCAAAAACCGTTGATGCTCGTTGCTGTTGCTTCGCAAATAAATTTCAAATGTTATTTATTTATTTATTTATTTATTTATTTATTTATTTATTTATTTACTTTTTTAAATACTTTTTTTTCGAAGATTATTTATTTTCCTCTTTGGAAAGTGGTGGCACAGAGTTCACCACGCCGTATGGATACGGCGAAAAGGTAATAGAACACAACAGGGAACTAAAATATAGTATTTAGCGTTCGACAGAGTGAACAGAAACAAGCTGTGGAAAGAACTCGACAACTACACTGTAAGAGGCCAACTTCCAGATAACATCCTTGCCATTTACGAGAACAGCATAAGTACCGTAAGAACGTCACAGGGACTCACAGAATGGTTCGAGATAACATCCAGAGTAAGACAAGGTTGTTGGGTTTTTTAAGTATGGGTTTTTCGGCGTTCGCAACTGCATAATAAGGTCATATGAGCGCCAAGGGGTGGATGTCAACAGAGAAATCCTTACAGGGAATCAGACTTACTCTGCTCACATCTCTAGCTTCAACAGCACAAAGTCTGCTTCGACTATCAAGGCACCCCGGAAATATTATGTCAAGAGCGTGACAAATATACAAAAGAAGTATAGGAAAAATGACAATAGTAAGGATTAGGAAAGAAAAAGCAGTAGTTCCCTGTTGTAGATCAGGCACAGTTATGAGCGAAACATTGATGAGTCAGCCCATTTACAATTCTACTGAGCATGAACGCTGTCTCCCCTTTGGGAATGGCCTAAGACACTTCAGTCAGTGGCACTGGGGGGGGGGGGGTGTTAAGACAAGGTTGTGTCCTATCACCACTACTATTTATCATATACATTAACATATATTACATGTATATATAATATATGGATAGATATTACAAAAGAGGCCAACACAGCCAGACGCCCTAAATGAATTACTCTTGGTTCATGACCAAAGCCTGGCACACAAAGATGAACGAAGTCTCCAACACCACACCACTAGATTAATAGAATAAACGAAGAATGTAACAACTACGACATGAACATCAACATCAACGAAACAGAGACTATGAAAGTAAGCAGAAAGCCACAACCACTCAGGATATACATCAACAACAGTCTCAGAGAGGTCCAAGAATTTAAGTACCCGGAAGTATATTCACAGAGGATGGGCGACTGAACAGAGAAACTGAAACACGAGTACAAAAGACCAATAATGTAGTTGACAGCTTACTCCACTACTGAAACATCCTAACATCCCCATGACAACAAAACTCAAAATGATCAACACCATATCCCAACACTCACTTATCAATGCCAAACATGGGCCACGAACAAGACATTAGAGCAAAGAATTAAAACATGTGAAATGCGATGCCTTAAAAAAGCAGTAAACAAAACCAGGCGAGACCAACTTAGAAACACAGTAATCCTAGAAATGGTGGGCACAAATGGTGTCATGCATCACATACAACACCAAGGAATAAAATGGTTCGGATATGATCTCCTACGATTATCAACACACCACCCAGATCAACGTGCCTACATCTAAAAATTCGATGGCGACAAGTCGAGAGGGCGACCGAGAAAGACCTGGATAGATGGGGTTAGGGAAACATTAACCACCCACGGCATCCCCCTGACCCAAGCTCTCTGGCTGGCGACATAAAGACGTCTCTTTCTTCCCGCGACACCCGAAACGGGATATAAAAACGGCAGATAAAAGTAACGTAAGATTCATTTATTTATATTTATTTTATTCTTTTAAAGGCTACAGCAATGGGGCTTTCGTGGCCTAGAGGTTGAGGTGTTGGCCTCTCATTCAGGTCCCGGGTTCGAATCCGGGTAGCGACCAAAAAATGTTCTTCTCTAAATTTGTCTACTTTCACCTCAATGTTCTGTCGTCTGCTTTCGTCTCCTCTTCCTGCCCCCACCCTCTCACCTCCTTTGCCTCTTCCTCTGGGCTCCTGATTCTTTCTGCAGCCTTTCTACTGCTACTCCTTCGCTTCTTCTTACTGCTGTCTTTCAGTCACACCCCTGATCTTCTGGTAGGAAAGATCTACACCTAGCCTTCTCGGACAAGGGCGAAAAATCTCGGAGGTCCCGTGTGCAAGTTGCGCACGTTAAAGATCCCTTGGTGGTCTAAAATCGATTAAGAGAAGGCTTCGGCCGCCACCTGGGCAAAATTCAAAATTTCCTACCAACTGAAAATATTAGGAGGTGTGTCCCGCGCGCTCATATGACCTTTATGCAGTTGCGAGCGCCGTAAAACACTTTACAAAAACAAAACAAAGGCTACAGCAGCACACAGACACGGAATGTTGTACATGCCTAGATCTACAGAGAAGACACGTGTTTTCTTTTCAACATAACAGCCATTGATCTCAGTGTACTTTTTGTCCTGTTTTTAGTATGGGGTTTTACGGCGCCCCAAATGCATAAGGTCATATATATAAGCGCGCGACTTTTTATCCGGTGTTGAGACCGCGTCTGCTTCGGCACGAGTCATTTCGCTGCACTTTGCACAGCATAAGTCAGAGGAAAAAAAAGTTAAAACAAAGATTTACTAATTTTGAAAAAAATGTACCTCCCCGGCGGGGAATCGAACCCCGGTCTCCCGCGTGACAGGCGGGGATACTTACCACTATACTACCGAGGACACAGAAATTTGTGGGAAATTATTGATAATAATCATGAGTCTCTGAACAAGCTTCCGGTACTCTCGTTTAAAAATAGAATGTATACTTCCGTGCCATAAATCAATTTCCTCCCTCCGCAACTTTTCATACATTTGATAATTATTACATTATATATATTTATTTATTCACATACTGTTACTTATAGAATTCAAAAATGTACATTTCAATAGAAAGTGTATTTTTGTATCCACCATCTATCCGTAATACTACAGGGAAACTGGGAAATCCCCTTTACGTCGTCACCATTACGTATGAAAACGGTATCATCATGTTTTGATGGCCGCCATCTTCGTACGGTAACTTTGTGGATGGTTATAGCGATGACTGTGGAGCAGTCTCCTTTACCAGTCAGAACAGGGCAGGTTAGTGTCCAATTCGTTGCAGATTGGTTTGAGATTGTAGTGACTGTTGCAAATTGTTCCTTTGTCTTTTTTGTTTCCTTGGAGCCTATTTTATTAGATTAGCTACTGCTGTCAGGGTCTACCGGTGATTTCTGGAATCTCATCCATCGCACCACTCTCCTCTGCTCTGCTCATTCTTGAACACGATTCTTTACTCTGCCTAAATTTAGATTATAATCTCGATTCTAGATCTGAATATCTAGAATCTAGATCTAGATCTAGCCCCTTTTACTTTATCATGATCTCTGCAGGTGAGGCATAGCTTCAGGGGTTTTGAACAGAAGTCATGATAGTTTGGTCACTATTTGAGATCATTCTGATTGAAAGAAGTGCCTGTCACTGTCATGTTACTCACCAGTCGTCTTCTACTTTGTCATGGCTGGCTGCTGGAAACACTGCCAACCGTCGTTCTGAGTGAGCTCAATTCTATTCTAAATCGTGATCAGCTATCTTGATTAATCTAGCCTTGATCCAGTCTTACATGACATACAGGATGGCCAGCCTAATAATTTTAAATTGGAGGCCATTCAATTCAGGTTCATTCAGTTTTGGAAGTGTTGGTCGCACATGCGATTAAACGTAGAAAGACGCAAACTATTTTTAGGTACGGTGCCCATCTTGTTTGACGTCAGTCCAGGATTCCCCTCCGATCACGTGACTATATCTAGATCTAGATCTAAGTATAGCCAACCGCATGGCACCTAAGATGGAAATGTACGAAAATTGTAGTAAAGACGCTGGAGGATTAGATATCTAGATTTACCCCCCTCCCCTCTCCTGCATTCTTCATCACTAATATACATTTTAAAAAACCAAAAAAAACTTCAAAGCAGCTCTACAAATTATAATTTATGGGACTGTTGGTCAGTCGGGAGGAGGAAAAGAGATTTTTTTTTTTTAAGATTTAAAAAAAAAAAAAATAGCCCGGGACCGGAATCGAACCGCTCCTAAAATCATTGCATGACTTCTAACACAGACGCGCTGTCTATTCGGCCATCAGAACTTCCAATAGCGCGGTGTAGATTAAGCGTTATAACATAGACACTGCCATCTTTGGTGCCATGCGGTTGGCTATACTTAGATGTAGTCACGTGATCGATGGGGTATCCTGGTCTGACGTCAAACAAGATCGGCGCCTTACCTAAAAATAGTTTGCGTCTTTCTACGTTTAATCGCCTGTGGTGGTCGCACTGAACCGGCAGAAGATAATGATTATAATATTCGGACACGTCTCTGGCGAGCTTACTTACTTATTTACTTTTATTACCCGTTGTTACACCATCTGGCGTTTAGGGCAGCAACAAAGGATCTCCGGCTCAGTCTGTTTTGGGCCATCTTGATCAATGTCCCCCACGAATGTTTCCAGGACTTCATTTCAGACTCTACTGTTCGTCTCCAGGTCACTTTGGGTCTGCCCCACTTTCGATGTCCTTCAGGTGTCCAGTGGACGGAGGGCAGTCTTCACAATAGAGTCTGGTTCTCTTCTCAGAACATGCCCAATCCATTTCCATCTTCTCCTTTTTAATATGGTGGTCATGTCCTCTTGTCTCTGGCGAGCACCCAGGAACTATTCAGAGACATAGATTCTACTCTCCCGCACACGGATGCACTGCTTTGGGGGGCCAACTGCGTATTATTTGCTGCAAATCACAATATAGATAGATTCTAGCCACTAAAAATGCGCAAATCAATCATTTTCAAGAAAATTTGTTAACAGCAAAATATCAAATTATGGGTTAAAAGGCTGTAACCCCCCAGATTTTTTTACTTGGTCTAGAGGCACAAAGCATTTTGATTGGTCTATTTCCGTTGGAGACATCTCCAAGCATTTTGATTGGTATTTCCGTTGGAGACGTCTCTGAATGGATACAGCGCACTGAACCAGCTCGCAGGTGTCTCAGCATTTTTTTTAAACTTGTCACTTGTCTGCCTCTGTTACAAGCGGATAGCTAGAGAACGACAACTAAACACCATTGGCCAGTATTTATAGTAACAGCCATCTTGTTTGACCTCGCAAGGGGGATGCCCGTTGCATCATCTGATTGGGATTCTTTTAAAATAGTGATGATTTTGCGTAGCGCACGGTTTGCTGTGGCAGTTTCCAAGCTTCCCGCTTGAGTCTTTCCTAGTGGTTCCCCCAGTATACTGACTGCTTTTGGACCTCACAGTATCCATTGCAAACCTTGCAATCTCGAATTAGATCTACTCCATTTGCAGATCAGCGTCCTTGAGTCCAATCTCTTGTAAGTGCTTAATTTTTTGTGCTTACAAAACTTTTTAAAGAAAAGATCCGGATCGAAATGGTTGATCATTTGCACTGCGTCATTGAACTTTGTTTGAACTTGCTTTCATACGTAGGCCTACTCTTAGTCTTATTCTTCTCAGTTTACGTAGAGCTAGAGTCTGCTCGATTAATCGAAGGCTTGCGAGCAGCGGACGGCTTGCGCCAGAGGCTTGCGAGCAGGCTTCTGCTTTACTTTGTCTGCCGCTCGCTAACGGGGGCAACTTCTGGTGAGTTGTGACTCGCTGACAGGCTTGCTGTACTATGTCATGACGTTGCGAACTCTCGTGGCTGTGGGCTCAGTACATATTACAGAAGCTTCTGGTCATTTGTGTTGAGAGGCTTTCACCAAAAGTGCAAGGTTTTTGGGGGTTTTCATAGTCGGGTTGTAAAAAAAAGCTCTATTCTATGCACTTAAAAATGAATAATGGATCGGCTATTCTTATGATACAAAGGCCGTTTTTTTAAAAAATGTGTACATGTTAAGCGCTTCGTCGTGGCATGCGGCAAAAGACCTCAATTTGATTCCAGTATGGGGAGAAATTTTTACTGAGAACCTCCGTCTTTTTGCCCGGGCGTTGTTCCCTCTCAGACCAGGTTGGCCCTGACATTAGGTTGAAGTAGGCCTAACCGGTCTCCTAAATGTTCTATATTATGTCATTGGGAGTATAAAATATACTTATGTACAAAATAGGCGACATACATACGATGCAAAAGCCAATCACAACGACCCTTGGAGTTTTCCATTCTGAGATATAATCTAAGTCTACTTATATTATACTAGTCAATACTACGCTTCTTCTCATTACATCCACTCGCTCAGCTGATCAAGGGCAGGAAGTTTAAGATAGCTTCGGCTCTCTACGTCTTGCACCAGAACAAGCACAGGCCTCTTCCTTCCTCCACGGTTGTGAGTTCACACTGTGAGCGGTCTTGCTGCTTGCTGCTAGCACAAGTGGCTTGCCAGGCTACAAGCAAGTCATGGGATGCAAAGCAAGTCATGGTATGCAAAGCAAGTCATGGGGCACAAGCGGCTTGCTGGCTGCGAGCAAGTCATGGGGCACAAAGCTAGTCATGGGGGCACGAGAGGCTTGCTGGCACTGTGCTGCGAGCGGGATTTGAGACTTGTCTTCAGCGCTGTGAACGGGTCTTTCTCTCTCTCTCTTCTCTTTCTCTTTCTCTCTCTCTCTCTCTCTCTCTCTCTCTCTCTCTCTCTCTCTCTCTCTCTGTGTCTCTCTCTTTCTGATGACGTGGCTTCGCGGCTTGCAAGCAGAGTGTGGGGAGGATGAGGGGGTCCGACACAAATGGCTTCTCGAAGGGCTAGTTCTAGTAGTTTTTGGGCTAGGGCCTAGACTCAAGTGTAACATGCTGGTAATTTAATTTGAGGATTTGTCCTAGTGATTTGAGGCTTGTGACTTGGACAAGGGGTTTGCGAGCACGAGCAGGTTTGCTACAGGGTTACAGCTCTAGTGTACAGCATCGGAATTAATCTGAGCGGAAGAAGGGTGCTGCACAACCGAACCGAACAGTTCTGCAAGTTGCAAAGAAAGGCTGCAATCGTATTGCCTCCATGACTGACGAAGTGGGAATCTCTCAATGATGTCAAACAAGATGGCTGTTACTATAAATTTCAGCCAATTGCGTTTAGTTGTTGTTCTCTAGCTATCTGCTTGTGCCTCTCTTTTCCCTTTCTCGAACTCAAGTACTCACCGACCCCAATTTTCAGTATGATGAGTTTCCTTACTCCATTCCCTTCTCATGCTTTCCTCTGTTTCAGTATTTTATGAAATACCATTTCGTGTTGGTGTAAGTTACATTAGAGAGGTAGAGATAAAGGGATTTTATCCACTTTGGGCCCCAGCCCCAACGATAACACTGTAGTTGTATAAACTTATTTTTCAACTTCAATCTTACCCCTGCCCTAACAACCCTAACCCAAGCTCAAAGTTACTATTGATATTTCATAACTCTTGGGCTGGAGATTTCCGAGATAGGCCTAAAAGCCTCAGCTTTATTTTTATGAGGAAAAGGTTTCTTTTAAAATTCCAAAGAACATTCCCTTTTGAGCAGTCAGTACTTATAGCTGGTTCACTTTCTTCTGACCACAGCATGTTTCTGTTCACTCTGTCGAACGCTAAATACTATATTTTAGTTCCCTGTTGTGTCCTATTACCTTTTCGCAGTATCCATACGACGTGGTTAAAACAGGATAGAAACAAATCACTCTCTTTAATCTTTTTGGGTCTTTGCATGCTGGTCTAAAACTTAAGCGACCTACGGAATCTAAAAGGCCTTTCATAAAAGTCACTGCAAACTAAGGTTCCGACACGTTTTCTTTGGTGTCGTGTAGGCCTAAAGCAGGTCAAAAAAACAATAGGGGATTTACAATTTACAGCATACACATAAAACATTTTAAAGTTGACATATTTTCCTAAACACCACTCTTTAGTGTTTGCTAAGAAGCACGATTCAAGAGACAGGGTGAGTATTTCTTACTCACGTGGAGCATGTGGAGACGTCTAGACAGCCAGGGGATGAAATCGACAAGTTTACACTGAAATGTGTGCACAGGTGTCTCTGTCTCAAAATGAACAATATGGAGGCAAGGCTACTGGAAGTCATTTATGTTAATAATCCTGTGTGTGCATCCAAAGAGCAGTTTTTAACACTTTTCCTACCGCATTTGCGGCTCGCGGACATGGCCTTACCGGACCGAGAGCCGCAAATAACGGCTCTATTGGTTCGCTGTCTATTCCAATCCAGTAATGAAAAAAAATGAAATTGTCAACCGATCCGCGTTTTTTAAATAATAGAATAGACCTCCCACGTTAGGGGAATGAAAGAAAATCTCAGTCATTTCAGCACTTTTTTCTGTCCTCTTTGCAACATAAAAATGAAAAGAAAAGTGCTCCCCTGACTTCAATATCTGTCTCATATTTTCACTTCTATAATACGTACACATACATACTTTCAGCATTTCTTAGAATTACCTGAGGCAACCTACCTGGGAAGTTTGAAGTATGCTGTTGTTGTACTTTTTATGAACTTTCAAAGTTGAAAAGTTCATATGACACCTTCGATATTGCATTATCACTTTTAGAAATCCCAAACTAATATAATTGGAATAAATCTCCAATATTGTACCATCATCATCTGATAGATTATTTTTTTAACCTTCAGTTTGATGGGCCGTATGATATAGTTTGTGTGTGTTTAGTTGGATGTTTCGACATTTTCCTTCAGTGGAGCAGGGGCGTAAAAATAGGTCAGGGAAAATAGGAAAAGAGTTAATATCGGGACCAAAGAGAAAAACTTTTTTTTTACTGGGTCAAGATTTAAAAAAAAAATATTTTTGTTTGGTCGCTGGCCTGCAGAAGTGCCATGCAAAATATTGTGGCCATTGGTAATTTCCTCAATGAGCTGGAATTTTTTTTACGCTACCTGACGAAAGTGAACAAACTATAATAACTTAAAGGCTTACATTTTGACTTTTGCTGGTGATAATATTGTTTTCTGTGTGTACCTTGTGGGTTTTTTTGTAGGAAATGTAACTTGGGAAATGCAAAAAATCATAATAGTGCTATTACCTGGTAAACGCGATGAAAAGGTTCAGAAAGGATTCTGTTAGCGTTAAAATAATTCGTGTTAAATTGATAAAGGGAAACAAAAAAAAAAGCACAGAGGTACAAGAGAACTGAAGGCTAGTCAAATGCCTAAATCTAACTGACCAATGTTAAGTGTGTGTGACTTCTTCTGTGTTCTCACTGGTGTTACGTGCACTACTATCATGTAAACAGACACAGATAGGTCTCTCCAAAGAACTATTTTATTCCGACACCCCTGCTTTTATAGAGTGGCTAGTTCCATTTTCACCATGAAACCCAAGTATAACTCCCAGCAAAGCATGTTGGTTTTTATTGTAACCCAGTGAGTGCACATTGCCAATCAGATTCAATAAAATTGAGTCAGTGCCAACCCGATTTTTCCTTCCCTCATGGTATGATATGACTGATTTGAACTCATGACCTTGGAAAACAAAACAAAAATATACATTTAGTCTAATTTGGTCAGACAGCTAAAATAGTGCAGTAGCTTTTGCCCCATCCATGAAGGAATATATCTAGCTAGCCCAGACTCAATCTTTAAATGAATTCCATTGGCAGTGTGCACTCTGACTCTGTACAGTGGTGTCCACCTAATAGAGCTGGGTTGCGAGCGCGAGAATGGAAGTGCATCCCACTCTTCCCTGCAGAACGCGATTCGCGATTCACTTCAGTGGTATGCGGAACAATATCTCCTTCTGATTCACTCCCCTGTGGCAGCTTAGTTGCAGCTCTATCTAATCTATAGGCCTAGTGCAACTCGTATGTCGGGAGCACGAGAACGGAACATGGAACGGAGCACTTACCACAGCTCCCCTTATTTTACAAAAGGTGGTATTGTCCAACCCCCCTATTAGAACAAAATGAACTGGTTCCTACCAATAGACAGAAGAAATTTTATAGAGCCATTGTTTTAGCGAATCATGGGGGGGAGGAGGGGGGGGCTGTGTGTGAATTTATGGGGTTCGTTCGCTAATTGAGGTCAGTAGAGCAGCACAACGAAGGGTGGGGGCGGAGAGGATGGCAGGACAACAAGAGTGAGACTCGCCAAATGGCGTTGATATGACACTGTTTCGTTTCATGTATACAACGAGCCCGAGGCTTACTGTTCCACTAGCGCTGGCGTACTCGCGATTCTTTGAAGCCGACTGAATCGCGAATCGCCACTCTCAGATTTGGCGAGCAGGATCCAGCTCTACCACCTAACAACAACCCCCTTGGGAAGTAAATCTTGGTTGCTGTTAGACAGAGGGGTGCTGCTAACTTCATTTTCAAAAGTGAGGGATGGGGTAAACGTGTAGTCTGTGACCTCCCCCACACGTACACACACACACACACACACAATTCCTTATCACTTCATGTGGTGATGCTGTTCTGTCAGAACGTGAGAACCTATTCAGCTTTAGTCAGTGAGCCAGTGCTCAAAAGCGGGGCAGTTATATAATGCACAATGACCTAGACACCCCCCCTCCCCAGCCAGAAGAGACTTTGAAGTGATGTGTGACATGGTGTGAAATGAGTTCCTGGTCTCAGCTTAGTATAATTTTCATCCAAACAGATGCTGTGAGGAGATAAACAAGAGAGAAGGAATGCACGCATACTAAAATTAAGGACCAGTCTGGGTGTTCTCACTTTTGAATTGTCAAAAAAAATAATTTTTTCAGACATTTTATAGAGTAATAAAGATTGCTTTTAGAGGAGGTAATTTATATGAGGAAAGTATCTTTTTTACATTAGCTTTGATTGCCATTAGGCAAAGGTTGCTTCTATCTAGGTTGCTGTTCTAAACTCTGTCTGGATGTATCGCCGATATATCAACACAAGTCCACACCCCTTACGGACATATCGCGGATATAATGGCAATGACGGGGTGCCTTGGTTTTGTTTCGTCTTAGCATTTAGAAGTACTTTTTATTGGAAAAAATTTAGGAAACAAAAGCATGTAGTTTTTCATTTTCAAAGCATCAGTGTGGCGATAAACAAGTGAATTTATTCTTGCAGTCTTGCATCAACAGAACGATGTAACCAGACTCAGTAGAGTAGAAATATCATAACTAACAAAAATTGGAATATTGATTTCAAATAAAAAGCTGTGCATTCAGAAATTTGTGGGTCAATGTCTTTCTCTGTATATGATTAGATAGCCTTGCTGATTTGCTTTCACATGTTTGGTGAATAATTTTTTCCATCAAAATTTATTTTTCTCATTGCCATCACCCATTCAAACCCTTGCAATGTATGCTTGAGTTCAAAATTAATCCTTGTAAAATTGTTTATTTTCCCAATTATAAATTCTATTTTTGCCATTTTTGCAGCGTACACGAGATGAGAATCTGACATATGCCAAAGTTCGAGAAGTAACAGGAGCCCCGGACCATGTGATTGAGGAAGCCATTAGGGCTTGTATCCGCACTGACGGCACGTATAAGGTGGAAGATGTTGTAACAACCATCATTGCTGATGACTCTGTGTCTGCCGTGGCAAAGTCAAAAGTAAGGTTTTCCCAGTGCAGAGCTGCTTTTTAGTTCCTAAATGCATTTTGTATTGGAGAATAGTATTTTTTTAATATTTTTTTTCGGAAGTGTTATAAAGGTCTTAAACATGCGCAACTTGCACACGGGACCTCCGAGATTTTTCACCGTTGTCTGAGAAGGCTAGGTGTAGATCTTTCCTACCAGAAAATCAGGGGTGTGGCTGAAAGACAGCAGTAAGAAGACTCAACACACTGACAATAAATGACGTGTTAATGGAGAGCTCCACTGGTATGTCCAACTTCTCTCTCTTGTTCCTTTTTGTCTGTCTTGCTTTTTCTCAGCTTTTAAAATGGTCTTTTTTCATGTTGATGTGTTTGTCAAACAAACTGTGGATTATGAACTTCATGTTCTGGTTCTGTATTTCAAAGTGCTTTAATTTCTTGAATGGTGAAACCTCTACAGAATGGCAACACCCAGACAAGTACAAAGCCCGTGGACCAGGTGGATGCATTACCAGGGCCATCAATTGGTCAAACTGCGGCCAATAATGGTCAGAAGAAGGCGACCTCGGGTAACACCTCTGCTATGTCCAAGCTAGCCGGACCTGTACCAGAAGGTAATTATTTACTTTTTGTTTCACACCTTTCCTGTTTTACAGATCAAATAATTTAAGCTGCTTCAAATCTAAATAAAGAGCACTGCAATGTATCGTCTAAGGCTTAGGCTTGTGGTCATGCATTCAAAGAACATGAGATTGATTCCCCACATAAGCAAGATATTTTATAGAGGACCCGTACACCTTCCAGCTGAGGTATAATATAGTATCTCGCAGTGTGGGTTGGCTCTAGCCTGTAGAGTTGAAGCATCCCACCTTTTGAATAACCTGAATTCGGTTGATGGGAGTGTGAAACTTGTGGAGCCAATCAGAGTTGTTTAGATGTTTGGTGTATGCTTTCTTTCAACCTGGCATTTTTCAATTTTGAGAGTAAACTTTGGAAGTGGTTCACATGCTAAAGACTATAATTCTATCATTTCAAGTTTGTGACTGATAGTTTTTCAGTGGGCTTCATCTCGTTTCCGAAGAATTGGAAAGTGTTAATGATACCAGCTTTGAGCAGTGTTTCATTACAGGAAGTGAAACCAGATAAACATAGTGATGGTATCAATAAAGACGAAAGAGTTGATTAAGCTTTCCCTGAACAGTGTTTGTTTATTCATTTAAAAAATCTTTAACACTGTCTGGCTCCTTTGTTGCAGAATTTATTGATCTCACAAGAGACAATCAGGGAATCTTGGGAGGCCAAGTGAGTCGAGAGGAGCAAGACATCAGCAGGTATACACAGACAATCATGTACAGCTGAAATTGTCCTAGTTCTAGAGACGGCCAACCTTTGTTGAGGAGAAAAGTGATTGTGTAAGACAGGTGGATATCTTGGACGGTGTCATTGCAGCATAGAAAAAGGCAAAGGGAAAGTGTGGAAAGGGGTGGGGTTTTGTTGGGTTTTTTTGTGTTTTTTTTTTGGGGGGGGGGGGTTAATTCCATCTATTAGACAACAAACATTTCTCATCAACAATTAGATGGTTGTTCAGGACAACTTCAACTGGTCTTAGGGGATTCTGAAATTCTCAACAAATGTCTCAACAAATTGTCCGGTTTGCTTTGAATATTCACCTGGGTTTTTTTGTTGTCCTGCTTTATGTAGATCCATTGGTCTGTTTGGACTTTTTATTTTTAAAGTAGGTAAGGAAATTGTGGTAGGTTTTGGTGGCATACTAGTGCTTGCTGTCTATTTATCATTATTGAACAAAAGATGATAAGGTGGATATGTTTTCCTTTGGATAAAAAAACCCATATTTTTCTGTTTGCTTGAGAGATATTATTAATTATCTAAGTATAATTGTATGTAACTGAGTTTTAAAGGATGTATTACATGTGTCCTGCCCTATGTCATTGTGATTATTGCTTACTTTCTTCTTCCTTCTATGCCTTTGAGGATCTCTCTTCTCTCTCTCCCCAGTGCACATGTTTCTGTTCATACACATTGTTGATTCATTTCAGTTAGGTATCTGACTGATTGAAAATTGCTATTTTAACAACTACTGTCTCTATATGTGTGTGTGTGTTAACATGTTAATTATTTGACTCAAGGGTCTTGGAAGCAAGCCTGGCTGAGAGCAAAGGTAGCTCTAAGCGGAAACGCGGAGAGCTATGGTTCATCGACCCACTCAACCCGCATGAGAGGACACGGCAGGAGGGCTGGCCGGTGGGCCTCAAGAACGTGGGCAATACCTGCTGGTTCAGTGCAGTCATACAGGTGAGTGGAGGGTTTGAGTTCGGTCCTGGTGAAGGATTGATGTTCTCTGTAGTTTTCCTGATTAGTGCGTGTTTTTATCAATTTGTTTCTGGAAATCCAAGTTTCTGAAATTGTCTGCATTTGGCCCAATTACAGACATTTTTACATTTATTTGTATATCAATGTATTTGTGCATGTCATATTGCACTTTATATAAAAGTGTAGTCTTGATAAAAGATGTACTAGACAATATAACAATTAAGTCCTCATGCACATGTTTCCACGAGTCCAAATTGTTCAGGTTTAAACATTGTTTTATTTGTATCCAGTTTGCTTCTCTGGTTATTTGTATTCAACCATTTTTGGAGAAGCACTTTTCCGTAACCATTTCATTGCCCTGTGCCAGTGAATAAGTGCAATGCTTTTAGCAATTTAAAGTTTACAGTGTTAAGTGTTCTACAGAGTAATCTCCTTCCATGTCAGGGACAGTTCCACATCTATGTCTGATCAATTTTGCCATGCCCACAGACTTATTGGGGTGCTCACTTAGAGGGCTATTATTTTGTTTATTTTATCAAATATGTTCTTGTTATACAGTGGCGTCCAAAAGAAACTGGAAAATGTAATCACCCAATCACAGTGTTTAAGCCTCACATTACCTACTCATGCAGCATACCAATTTAAAGCTAAATAAATTCTGCATCATCTGACACATTAATACTTCATCCATGTGAAGAGACGCTCGAGATATGGTCACTCAAAATTTACCTTAAAAAATCAGGATCAGCAAAATTGTGCGAAATTAAAGAAACGTAAAATTGTCTTCGTGTGTGTGCTGAGGAGTATCAGTATTGATATAATGGACGTACTGTACATATTCTATTAATTGAAAATTTTGTATTGCAATAAGCAATATTCTATTTTGATATTTTGTCACGATAGGCTCAAATAAAACGGAAAATAGAGCAGCCTCAAATACCATGCAAAACTTGGACATAACATTGAATGTGCCCATTGTTGTTTTGCTTTGGAGCCATTAGTTTTGTGTAGTGCATGATCCCGTTGGGCATCAACTCTATTAAATTTTGGACATAATTATCCGTCATTTCATTACTGAGACAATAATATTCTCTTTTCATTTGATATTCAATACACGTCCATTTCACCAATATTGATGCACTTCAGTATACACGCCGCATACACTCTTGCGTTTCTCTGATTTCGCACAATTTTGCCAAGCCTGATTTTTTTAAGGTCAGTTTTGAGTAACCATATCTCGGGCGGCTCTTAACAAAGATGAAATGTTAATGTGTTAGATGATGCAGAATTTATTCAGCTTTAAATTAATGTGTTTCATGAGCGGGTAGTGCAAGCTTATAACCCAATGATTGGGTGATCACATTTTCAAGTTTCTTTTGGATGCCACTATGTACCAAATTGAAGGAAGATTATGAAAAAGTGAATAAAACTCAAAATAAATGGTGACAGAAAATAAAAGTATGCTGGCCCAAGTGAGACATGAAACAAACGATGATAAGTGGCAGATTGGCAGGGAATGAGTTTTTAAAAAATAATTTTAAAAGAACCAATGAAATAATCTGTGTGGTCCCAGAGGTCTATACTTGTTTCTAGCAGTTCAGATTTTTGGGATTTAAGCATGGTACAGACAGAAATTAAGAATGACGGAAAGAAGCAATTGTTTTGTTGGAGTGGTCTCTGGCAACAAATGATGGTCAAGCCTGCTGCTAGAAGTTTCCGCAGGTTTGAACCTGAGTGATCGTCGTGCGTGACGATGTTGCCGACAGTAATAATAATATGTGCAGGGAGTTCAACTGGCAGGAGGTCATCTAGTGACGTCTGCCAGCAATACCCCTGCTACAGAGAATGTACTTTAAAATTGGTGAAAGATGTGTCAAAGTGATGTAAAACATTGACTTCAATACTTCTCCTACAGAGAGCATACTTCATCATTGATGAAAACCGAAAAATGAAATAGTACAGGTTTAACGCCCCTATCAACGCCATTAGGTTATTTAAGAGGAGAAACCTCCGAGTTTAACATCCCTCCCAGAAAGGACAGCCAAATGGGATATTCGTGTAAAGTGCCTTTCCCAAGGACACAACGTTGGACCGAGCTGAGGCTCACACCCTGGAACCCCCATTCTCATGATCATTTTTACGGGTCCGGTAGCCTAACCACTAGGATGAAAACTGTGTCAATGTGGGTGCAAAACATTGACTGGCAATCAATCAGAGCCAACTGAATGACTTGCGTATGCTTTCCTTTGGCTTTGTTGAGAGCTGGGATAAATAAGCTGCGTACATAATGGCAGATCTACCAGAGGCTTATGGAAATTTTGCTTTTACAACACATTATCTATGTGTGTGTGTCATTTATAATTTGTTGTTTTCACGGAAATCTCTCTGTAAAATTAGTGTGCTTAATATTATGTGGACCAATGGCTTTATATTATACACTGAATAAGATACCTACCTACTTTGGGATTTCCTTTTTCAGCGTAATTTTAAATCAAGTTTGAACCCACAATCTCATTTGGAGTTCGGTGGCCTAACCACTAGACTGTGAATGTCATGGAGGGACATTCGACCCATACAGTTACTGGTCATCACTGTGTAAGATGCTGACATTCATTTTTCTCTCTCTGGGGGCTCCAGTAGCCGAATGGTTGGTGAGTTCAGGCTCACAAGAATGTCAAGCATATGTCAGTGACACTGGATTTAAGTGTGTGGTCACTGGGATGTGTCCTTTTATTTTATTTAATAGAAGTTTTACGGCACTTGCAACTGCATACGGTCATATGAGCACCAAGGGGTGGATGTCAACAGAGGAGTCATTACAGGGAATCAGGCTTACTCTGCTCACCTCTCTAGCTTCAACAGCGCAAAGTCTGTTTCGACTTTCAAGGCACCCCGGAAATAGCGAGTCACAAGAGTGTGACAAACATACAAAAGAAAAGTAGAGGAAAAATGACAATAGTAAGGATTAGGAAAGAAAAGGCAGCAGTTCCCTGTTGTAGTTCTGGCGCAGTTATGAGCGTGACATTGATGAATTGGCTCATTTACAATTCTACTGTGCATGAGCGAGGAATGTCCCCCTTTGGGAATGGCGTAAAGACACTTCAAGTCAGTGGCACCGTCCCGGTGGGGTGATGTGTCCTTGAGCTAGACACTATAAACTTAGCTCAAAAATAGGACTGCTGTACGGTGATGACCAGCAGTGTCTTATTTGAAAAATTTTTCTGTATTTTTTAGTTAGAACTTAATTTGAATATCTTTTGCTTATTTGTATATTTATGTGTATGTGTGTTTCTAGGTATTTATTTACATTTGTATTATGACATTGTAACTCAAATTTCCCAACAAGAGTCAATAAAGTGGACTTCTTTTTTCTTTTAAAAAAAATTTTTTTTTTTCTTTCAGTCACTCTTTCACCTCCCCAAGTTCAGAGAGATTATTTTGAACTTCAAACAAGCTGGTCCTTCTTCAAGTGAGGTGAGTTGTTGCTGGATGGGACTTTTTTTCTTTCTTTTTGATTTACTTTATTGAATGCATTAGGGTTTTACGTTAACTGCATATAGAGCCAAGAACCTTGTTGCAAATCCTGAAATTGTTTTCTTTTTCATCTTCATGTTGTATTTTTTTGGGTGCGTAGTAAGCTCAGTTGGTATCATGCTGGGCTATTGTGCTGATAACCCTGGTTTTGAATCCCAAATGAGATGTTCTTGAGCTTGCTTTGTAAAGGAAGTTTTCAAGGCTCTAACTTACTCACTCTTATGGGAAAGGAATGTTTGAAAAGGAGATTTTTGACTTTTTCATACCCATACTACAATGTCAAGAGTTTCTCTTTAATGGTAAGTCACTTCATGAGGTTCGGTCTTTTCAGGTCTCAATTCCTCTTTCATTCAGGCATATTATGTTTTCCTTTACAGCTCTGTCCCAACCTGCGGTTTGTGTCGGAGCTGCGTCACCTGTTTGGCCTCCTGCTGGCCTCCAAGAGGAAGTACGTGGACCCCAGCAAGGCGGTGGACATCCTGAAGGAGACCTCCTCCACCACCGCCCTCGATGGACAGCAGGTATGAGGGTTTGTCTTTCTTCTTCTTCTTCTCAATCGCATCACACTTGAAGTCTGGAATCTGTCATAAATTGGGCCGTCCTGCTCAGTTCATCTGTCGGCCGGTATAGCTTCTCTTGTAGCGTCAGTGGGAGAGGGTTTGCTTTTCTTTTGATTTGGTTTTTTTTTCCCCCATTCTGCTCCTTCCTTCTTCTTCTTTTTTTTTTTTTGTTTTCTTTTCATCCCACTCCTTCTTTTCTCATTTGTCGGAGTAATTTTGTTCTATTGTTTTAACCACATAGCTACCAGGCATGAGATATCTTATGCAGTAATTGGATTAGACCACAGTTCTAGTTCCATGTCTTCCTCTTTTATCACGAATCATTTTAAAAATCGTTTTAACCCCTTTTCTGCCAAGCCCAGAACCATCTTGTGCGGATTAGACAGCGGCGGACCTGGAGCAGATTGGGTTAAGAAATTTTAAGAATTGTTAGTTTCAGTTACTGTTTTGATGTTAGGGGATATTGGTTTTGTATTTAACACGCTAGCATCTGTCCTGTAGAAAATCGTTATTGTAGATGTTTTACAGCCTCATCGACTTCATTTAGATGGAGGGCTGCTTCGACCCTGCTTGTCAGGGCCAGCCTGGGCTGAGAGGGATGCGACATTCCAGGAGACTCGCATGGGAATCAAATTCACATTTTAAGCATGAGGCAACAAAGCTAACCATTACCTACCTACTTTGGGATTTCCTTTTTCAGCGTAATTTTAAATCAAGTTTGAACCCACAATCTCATTTGGAGTTCGGTGGCCTAACCACTAGACTGTTAACGTCCTGGAGGGACATTCGACCCATACAGTTACTGGTCATCACTGTGTAAGATGCTGACATTCATTTTTCTCTCTCTGGGGGCTCCAGTAGCTGAATGGTTGGTGAGTTCAGGCTCACAAGAATGTCAAGCATATGTCAGTGACACTGGATTTAAGTGTGTGGTCACTGGGATGTGTCCTTTTATTTTATTTAATAGAAGTTTTACAGCACTTGCAACTGCATACGGTCATATGAGCACCAAGGGGTGGATGTCAACAGAGGAGTCATTACAGGGAATCAGGCTTACTCTGCTCACCTCTCTAGTTTCAGTTACTGTTTTGATGTTAGGGGATATTGGTTTTGTATTTAACACGCTAGCATCTGTCCTGTAGAAAATCGTTATTGTAGATGTTTTACAGCCTCATCGACATCATTTAGATGGAGGGCTGCTTCGACCCTGCTTGTCAGGGCCAGCCTGGGCTGAGAGGGATGCGACATTCCAGGAGACTCGCATGGAAATCAAATTCACATTTTAAGCGTGAGGCAACAAAGCTAACCATTACACCACCGTCATAGTCATGCATATGCTAAATATTTGTTTGACTGTTGGGTTGATGTAATGTTACATATGGGGTGACCTGATCCCAGACATAGTCTGAAAATCATAAAATGATAACAATTTATTGTACTTTTGTCTGGATGGTTCTCATTTCTTGCATTCACATTTTTGTCTGAAAAATTGTAATAATGATGCTTGAATCTGCTAAGAATGTTTGTTTCTGAAGCTACAGTTGAACCTTTCGAAGACAACCATCCATTGTTGAGAAAAAAAGTCGACAGATCATTGTTTTGGACAATGCTAATATAATATAAGACTATGGTCTCTCATAACTGACTTTAAAAGTCATTTGTACAGGTACAGGTAGTTGTCTTGGACAGTTGGTCGTTAAATCAGGTTCGGCTGCTTTGTCATTATTTTCACTTTCACATTAATGAACAATAAGTTTGTCCATTCCTGTGAAGAATATTGCAGAGGCGAAGATGTCTAGGGATGCTCAGATAGATTTCAATTTCGTACTGTCGTTTCCATCCATGAGGAACAGTGGAGATGAAGGACTTATCATTAGCTCAGTAGGTACCGGTGTTATGCTGGGGTTATGATATGGGTCACCCTGGTTTGAATCCAAAACGGACCCTCCTGAGCTTGTGTTGTATTGAAATTTTTTTAAGCCTCTCCTTTCACTTGACTGTCGTGTCCAAGATAGACGTTAAAATGGCAGGCCCTGTCTCTTAATAATCTTGCAGAACTGAAAGGGGGGCATGTGAAATTCTCCTCAGTCTTTGGAAAAGAGATCGCTTGAATTTCTCCTTACTCATGGTGTTAACACATTTTTCTCTCTGTTCCCCAGGATGTGAGTGAGTTTCAGCACAAGTTACTGGATTGGCTAGAAGACGCCTTCAAGGTTCCCGTCGACCCCAGGTAAGTGTGTTGCAGAGTTGGGTCGGACTCGATAATATTTAGCCTTGGCAAGCGACGAAAGGTTTGCTGGAAATACTCTGGACTATAACAAATCGTCTGCTTGTGAAGGCTTGTTCACTGCACCTCTGGTCGTCGGAGACACTAGTTCTTTTAGTGAGTCTATCCATTCACCCGTGGTTTAAGTGAATGAAATTGTTGAGGGTACAAAAAAAAATGTCTGAGGTTTGCAGTCTGTTTGCATGGCTGTCCATTACTCGCTCGCTGGGACTACGTCCATGAGTAACAAACCCGTCTATCCGTTCACCCCTACTCTAACGTGCTTATGTGGACACCCCTCCAAGTGGGAGCAGAAATGATAGTTATGATAATGGTGTTGATATGTAGGGGGTTTTTTTGTTTGATTGATTCTTTAAGTTTTACGCTTGCTTCAATTCAATTTATATCATTTAGGAGGCAGCTTCATTCGACCAAACATGATCTAGGCTTTCTCTTTGTCAATACTATTGGGCTGCATGTCAAATATCTTATGTCTTGCAGGCTGTTGGAATATGGCGCTGACAGGTCCTTCTTCTGTAATGTCTGTTTGTTCTCTCTCTCTCTCTTTCTCTCTCTCTCTCTCTCTCTCTCTCTCTCTCTCTCTCTCTCTCTCTCTCTCACACACACACACACAAACACACTCACACACACACCTTTATTATTTGATGTGCATCTTTTTCCTCATTGAATCATTTCATTTATTTTGTAAAGAATGATGGTGTGGAAACCTCTTTTCTTTCAATTTCTTTGAGGGTGGGGGGGGTGGTGGAAGCCACTGGTGGGTCCTACTTCTTTCCTTTCTGCTGTTTCTTTCTGTTGTATGTTTTCCCAGCACTGGATGACCGCTATTGTGTCGATGTACTTCTCTCTACTCAAAAGTTACAAACCCTTTGAGCCCGGGTACCCCCTGAACCATTGGGACCTGTCCACCTAAGCTTTATTGTATCCCATACTAGATTCATACCACAAGACACTGAGGTGTGCATTTGATGCACAGAAGTCTAAATGGGTAAAAGTCGGTTCAAATAAATAAACTCGCACAAAAAAGTCAAGGAACAAAAATTCAAAGAAAGATAACTGAAGGACAGTGCAACCGAATTTATTCATTTTTTCTAAAAAAGATGCTTTCGACTATTTAGATTAAGTGTGTACAATTTTAGACTTCAACAAAAACGAGAATTCATGTAAAATGAGTTTAAGTCACACTGGTCGGATTTCAAAAGTCTGAAAAGCCATATAGTTCTTCATGAACATTGTCAGTAGTGGATGTAGCCACTCCGTTTGATCAAACACTCTGCACAGCGTCGACTCATGGACAGGACATGCCTTCGGAGAACTTGTTGCGGTAGGTTCTGCCACTCCTGGACGAGGCAGCCCAAGAGTTGTTGAAGGTTTTGTGCAGGAGGGTGGTTGTCCTTATCTACCAGTCAATGTGATCCCAAATGTTCTCTATTGGGTTCAAATCCAGACTACAAGCTGGTCAGTCCATGCAGGTGACAGCTCACTACTGCAGGAAGTCCCCCACGATGCATGCGCGATGTGGCGCGGCATTGTCGTCATGCAGTACAGCCTGGGGTCTAATCTGCTGCAGGAGAGGAACACCAAGGGGACGCAGGGTATTTTTCCCTGTACCTTACAGCGGTCAAATTGCCCTGTATATGGTACAGAGGGTCTTGTGGTGAGCTGAGAAGCCTCCACATACCAGAACGAACCCTCCACCATAGGGCGCCACCTGCAGGATGTACTCAGGGTGGAACAGCTCTCCTCAGCGTCTCCAGACGTGCGCTCGCCTTTCTGGGTGCAGCAGGTTGAATCTGGATTTGTCTGAGAGGACTACCTGGTCCCACTGACATTGTGTCCACTGTGAAAGGCGAGCAGACCACGCCCGGCCAGCTGCTTGGTGGGGCGGCGTGTGCCTTGGGCGCCTGGCAGGGGCACCAGAAGCAAACCTGGCTCTACGGATACGGTTCCTTACCGTGTCCTCGCTGGCGTGGACTTTGGCTGTCTCCCGTAGTTGGTCCCTGGCGCCGTTTACAGTTGTGGTTCGGGGCGTCACGGCCTGTCTGACGATGAACCGGTCAATGCTGTCGATGGTCAACATAACATGGCGCCCTGGTCGAGGCCTGTCCTGGACCCTTCCGGTCGCTCGCCATCTTTCTTACAGCCTCTATATGACTAATGGGGATATCCCAAGTCGATGTGCAACGACTGGGAACGTGGAGCCATCTTGGAGCCGGGCAAGGGCTCGTTCTCTGTCGACGTCAGGCAGCGAGCGTCGTTGGACCTTCGTGTTGTAAAGAAACATGGCTGAAAAACGTTGGCTTATAAAGGGTTGTAAGTGAGCAATATTCACAGCTAAGACATCTGTTTAGCACGTGCCTAGCTTAGTTTTAGCTAACAGTCCCTATGCCAATGTTGATGAAGTAGAGAAATTTTGCCAATTTTTCATGTTTTTCGGCCGTGTTTTAGAATGCCCTCCGCCGTCACTGTGAAGCTGGTGCGGGTAAATTTGCTGTACAGGCAAACTGTGTCTAGTCGTCAGTGCATGTGCCAAGTTTGGTAGACTGATCTTAACGGGTTTGTGAGATATTGAAGTTTAAATTTGACAGGTGAAAACACAAGTTGTTCCTTGACTTTTTTGGGCGAGTTTAGATCGCGCTCATATGACCTTATGCAGTTGCGAGCGCCATAAAACCCCATACTAAACAACAAATTAAATGGATGTAACCAGTAACCAGCGTCACATGCTTTCACCTGGCAAAGAGTGAGACTGTTTTTGTTTCTTCCGGACAGCCTGTCTGCGGGTGCGAGCCAGCATCGAGAGAACCCTGTCAACCAGCTGTTCCAGGGAAAGTACAAGGCAGAAGGAATCCACGAAGGTGATTTTATACTCTCAGGTTTTATAGGCTTTCTGTCCATCTTTTAGGTTTGGGGGGGTATCTTTTATTGTTTTCAAAGTTACGAAATTTGGAGGGGAGATTTAGTGTGTTTGTGTATGGGGTTTCAAAATTGAGAAACTTGTAAATGGAATTTGTGGAGAGATCTGGGGGTAGGTGGTACCCTTAGTTTTGTGTTTCAGTAGCCTATGAAACTTACAAGTTTGAACAAGTCAGAAGCAGTTTTTGATCAAACTTTGTGCTGGATGGTTGTAAAAGCTTTTCTCAGGTGGTTGGAGAGTGCCACTTGTAGGTCTTTTCTTTCCCTCTCCTGTTTCTCTCTAGCTTGCTTTTTCACTGCTCTAAATGAAGGTGGATATTTACTTTGCTTTTTTCCTTTTTGCATCTACTTTTCGAGGATGATTAGAGAACACTGCAAGTAGGTCCTACCTCTTCTATTTCCATCTCGCCTTTTTACTGCACTAAATGACTGTCATCATGTTGATGTGCGATGATATTCATCACTCTAATGACTGCTTTTCAGGTCATTTTTAACCAGTGCATTCTGTCCCTCACACCTCCCCAGGCACGGTGTTTTCTCAGGAAGTGACCTTTGGTCAGTACCCGCTCAACGTGGTGGGCTTCAGTGACATTCACGAGAGCCTGGAAGCTACAACAGCTCAGGGCGAAATCGAGACAATCAGCAGGGACTCCAGCAAGAAGTCTGGCCAGGAGGTAGGCATGCCGCATCCCCGCACAGCTGCTGGAACTTTTCCACAACTTTCCAACCTTCTATCTGAAGATTTACGGATAAAAATAAAATATAAACGACACATACGCATGCATGCAGGCACACACACACACACACACACACACGCACTCTGCGCATCGTCCGGCGGTAATAACCCTGTTCCCCATCGGACGGATACCAGTGACAACTGTGTCGTTTTATTTAGTGCTAGTTTTTGCTTGTTTTTCTTAACTATTCCAGAACCAAGTTTTTTAGGAATGACTAAGCCTTTGTTTCCGCTATTTAGAAGTTAGAGGCAAACTTTTGGGGTTATAATGAGACACGGTGCGCCAGGTTTGGGTGACCGTAGAAGAAAACTGCAGGAAACGGTGGAAATGACTCAGGGTCTAAAGAGTTAAGTTCTTTTATGGAGGATCAGTACAGTATTTCTTTTTTTTTTTACTTCTATAATGAACAACTGTACTGCAGTAAGTTTTTGTCAGCGGAACCATTTAAAGATAGAATGATTCCGAAATTTCAATTTCTAATTTATTCGAAAATTAGTCACAGTTTCACTTTGATTTTTTTACACAAGTAGGGTAATTGATCAGGCATTCAGTTTAGCAAATACAAAATTTTGGCGCCAACATGAAAAAAGGCATTTTGTCAGCTTACGGCAGTGTAGGTTATTGAAAGTTGAGAGGATTTGTTATATGTGTCACGACATGGTGGAATCAGGCGCTCGTCAGTTTTTGGACATACAGAGTTATTCGTATTATTTTAAAGCCTGTTCATCTGCCTTCCTTTTGGTGAACAAAAAAAATCCATCTGTGTTGAATAGAAGTCGTAATATTTGCGATTTAACGGGGACAGGGTCGCCTGGTTTCAGAGGTAAAATTAGTATAAGTGAGAAAATGACCACCAAAGTTTAGAAACTTCCAAAGCCTGAGAGTCTTTGGAAACTGAAAATTTGCATTTTTTTTTTTTGGCGCCTTTAATCAATGTTTTTCTGTAAAATCCACACAACAACTGCTGATTTCTTTGATTTCATTATTTTGACAAGAGCCTGATTTCACCGCGATGCTTCACATATTGCTTTGGATTCATTGCAAGTTACTGGTGATGTTTCAGATCTGGTTCACGCACCTGCCCGTCGTCTTGACCTTTGAACTTTCTCGGTTTGGCTTCAACCAGCAGCTGAACAGGGCGGAAAAAATTCATCAGCAGCTGAGTTTTCCGCCTGTCCTTTATGTAGATAGGTGAGTTTTGTTTTTGGACTTGTAGTAAATAATTTCCCCTTTCTGTAGCACTATGATGTTTTGAAAAACAAGACTTCCACATTTATAATATCTGCGTAAATTGTCCTATTTCAGTTTTGTTTATATATTTATCAAACTCCGAAATGTGATACCTGACTATTAAGACAGATAGATGTGTTCTTTTCTCTTGAACTGAAACTTAAGAAAAGTAGGGGTTTTTTTCATTCAATTGACAGTACTTAGTTGGTTTATTCTTACAAGGTGAAGGTCTATTTCCTGTTTTGTCGCTGAAAGTTTTCATTTTAGAAATGCATACGTCAGCATCTGTAAATGTTGCAGTTATTTTCATAAAATCTCAGTGAGTTCCCAGTTATGATTGCGTGCATAGATGTGTATATTATTATGTTAGGGAATGGAGTCTGGGTTGGAGTGGAGTGACAGCCTATTCTTTTCTACATGAAATGGAAAAAAAATGGAAAAAAAAACATTTTGTGGGCGGTTGACGGGTGCTCTGGTGTGGTTTGCTCCTTCTTTCATATAAAAATCTATCATCTCTATCTCCCCTCCTTCTTTTTTGTGTTTGTTACTCTCTTGTGACACCTCTAATCTTCGGCACTTATATGACCTTATTGTGTTGCAAGTGCCGTAAAACTCTTACTAAAACTAAAACAAACATTTTTTTTCCTTTCCTGTCATACGTCTATCGTCCTCATCTCTCTTCCTTTATTTCCTCTGTTTGTTTTTCTCTAGTAACACCTCTAGTCTTTAACACTTATATGGCCTTGTTGTGTTGTAAGTGCCCTAAAACTCTTCCTAAAATGAGATCCGGGGGTTTTTTTACTTTGGTCTTTCTTGGCAGATATTTGGAGTGCAACAAGACGGTGACCCGCCAGAAGAGAGAGGAGGCGCGGAAACTGAAGGAGGAGCTGGGGAGTCTGCAGGCCAGACTGGACAAGTGAGTGTCATGGCTGCCACTGACTGTTAGGGTTTCAGTGTGTCGTACGTTTACTTTAGTTTGCTTCTCTTTAAACCCTTTGAGCCTAGGTGGTGCATAAAATTGCCCATACGCCTAGCCACCGGTACACTGGTGAGCGAGACCCCATCCCCAGCCCGGCTTGCCTGGAACAAAACGTGCATGGAGAACAGTGTTTGCTACACAGGGCGTTATCGATTATTTTGAAGATCTTTCTGAATTAGATACTGGTAATGACGCACTGAAAGACCACAATGGAACAATCAGTATTGGAGGCAGGACAATCACAAACTTGCGTTTTGCCGACGACATCGATGGATTAGCTGGTGAAGAACAGGAGTTCGCCACACTAGTGGAGCGGCTGGACACAACCTCAGCGGCTTACGGCATGGAGATCAGTGCCGAGAAAACCAAGCTAATGACCAATAATACCAATGGCATCAACGCAGACATTAAAGTCAGGGGCGAGAAACTTGAGACCGTCAACAACTTCAAATAGCTTAGATCAATCGTCTCAGATGAAGGCTCAAGACCAGAAATTCTCTCCAGAATCACGAAACAACAGCAGCGCTGTCAAAACTGAAGCCTATTTGGAAGGACAGAAATATCACGCTTAACTCGAAGATCAGACTGATGCGCTCACTGGTCATCTCAATATTTTTATACGCCTGTGAGTCGTGGACACTGACAGCAGAATTGGAGAAAAGGATTTAGACAACAGAGATGAGATGTTATCGCAGACTCTTTTGCATCTTATACAAAGACCTCATTTCAAATGCTGAGGTACGGAACAGAATTACAAACGCAGTGGGGCAGCATGAAGATCTACAGACTACAATGAAGAAACGAAAATTAAAATGGTAAGGGTATGTCACAAGATCCACAGGACTTGCCAAAACAATCCTACAAGGAACCATACAAGGAAAGAGAAAGAGAGGAAGGCAGAGAAGGAGATGGGAGGACAACCTCACAGAGTGGACTGAGAAGACGATGGGTGACAATCTGAGGAAAACAGAGGACAAAGAGAAATGGCGAGAGCTGGTTGTCAGATGCAGTGGTGCCCCCACGGTTGCCCCAACCACGGGATAGACGAAGAAGAAGAATGACGAGGACTACCCTGAGTGGGATATGGAATGTGATTCAGACGATGATATGAATATGAGTAATATATCACTAATGAGCTCAGGTAGAGGGGCACAGGAGGTCAGGGCTCAAATGGCTAATGATCTCAGTATTGAAACATTATATCATCAGATGGGGGATGTCACACAAAAGTTAAAAGCCACATTTGTCAAGCAAAAGCAACCTTCCACAAAATGAAACAGATACTCACAAACATGAATCTGTCACTGGAAACCAAAAAAAAGAGTACTGAAAAGTTACACTTAGCTAATCCTATTACACAAGTGCGAAGCATGGACAATCAATTGACAGCTGGAAAGAACAATTGAATCAACAGAGATGTGGTTCTTAAAACGCATGCTGCATATCCCATTGACAGCTAGAAAAACAAATGAAGAAGTCTTGGTTGAAGCAAATTGTAAACGACAGCTTATGACGAATATACGAAAGCGACAGGCAAATTTCATTGGACACACAATGCGGAAAAAAGCATTAGAGAATATAGTAACAACAGGCAAGTTTGATGGAAAGAGAGGCAGAGGCAGAAAGAGGGAAAAGATACTGGATAAGTTGACAACATAGCTGGGATCAGCAAGAACAACAGACTCCATTGCTGCAACGCCAGACAGATGGAAGTGGAGGTCCATGATCGCCCTCGCCAGTTGGCTAGGCACCGGATGATGATTGAAACACGGTATAGTCGAAACTAAGACAGCCACCCATTATGGAGGAGAAAAGTGACCGCCTTGCACTTACTTTTACTGTTACTTTTTCATCCTCTGTTGCCACTAAGCTGGAGAGAGATGCAGTTTGCTATAGTAGGCCAACTCTGCACTTCTTTCAACTGGGACACTATAGCTATCTTACACAGTGTCATTATAATGTAAAAAAACAAGTAAAGGAGAAAATGGGAAGTGGCCGTTTGTACAGATGATTGTCTTATACAGGTGGCCGTTAGAGCAGCGTTAGCCTTATTCAGGCCAAATGCCGTGGGTGGCGGGAGGAAGATGTTTTTGCTCTTAGCGGTATTGATGCACTTACTGCTGATGAGATGTGGCCCATTCATTCTGTGGGAATGTAAGAGTAATAGCCATTTATTGTGTGGACAGCAAGATTTATAGACAGAAATAACTGAGGGGAAGAAAGGAAATTGGAACACCAATCAGAAGCACCCTTCAAGCACCTGTGTTGATAGTCTTTTGATTTAGCTCTAGGTAGAGGGTGCTGCTGGTAGGTCCTGCTTTCCTTTTATTCTATCTGTCCGTCTTGACTTTTTTCCTTGAACTAAATGCTTTTCTGCTTTTCTTTTCTTTTTCTTTTTTTCTTTTTTTTCTTTTTTTTTTTTTTGGGGGGGGACATTCTTCTACTTAATCAGATAAATGAATCTGTATTTGTTCATTCCTTCTATGTTCTTCCCAGGTTGATGAACTTTCGATTGAATTTTTAAAATCCTGCTTCTTTTCTTTCAGTCTGTTGTTTCCATCTGTCTTTCTTGATTTTTTTCCCTCTGCACTTAATAGCACTTATTATGTGGATGTGCTTCTCTTTACTCAAATGAAGCTGTATTCATTCATTCATTCCTTTCCTCCTTCTTCCTAGATTCATGAACTTTGGGTCGAGCAGCAAGAGGTACCCCCTGCCAGACGTGCTGCAGTATGCTCTTGAATTTGCCCAGAGTTCTCCGTCTCGCGGCCCGGAGATCACAGTACCTCCGACCTCGCCCCATCACCCCCATGATGTGGAAATGGAATCTCCAGTGCCATGTTCAAGGTGAGCAGCCCACCTCTTAAATGGTCCTTGTGCTTTTGTTTATTGCAGAGCGGGACTTGTAGTTATGTCCGTTTCACTTTTCCTTCCTTCTAAATTACCGTTTTTGCTTCGATGTGCGTCTGTTTACTCATAAAAACCTCTATTGTGGGTGTTTGGCATGTGCTCTAGTGTGTTCTGCGCCTTTTTTCCTTTCAAACATCCATCGTCCTTATCTCTCCTCCTTTTCTTTGTATGTTACTCTCTAGTTACACCTTTAATCATCAGCATTTATATGACCCATTTGTGTTGCAAGCGCCAAATGGGTGGTTGGCAAGTACTCTGATGTGGTTTGCTCCTTCTTTCCTATCAAGCATCTATTGTCCTGATCTCTCCTTTTTTGTGTGTGCATGTTACTCTCTCATAACACCTCTAATTACCCACTGGGGCCGTGCTACTGACTGAAGTGTGTTTAGACCATTCCTATAGGGGGGACATTAACATGTTCTTATGCTCAGTAGAATAGTAAATGGGCTGATTCATCAATGTCATGCTCATAACTGTTCCTGAACTGCAACGGGGAACTGCTGCTTTTTCTTTCCTTATCCTTACTATTGTCATTTTTCCTTTAATTCTTTTGTATGTTTGTCACACTCTTGTAACCCGCTATTTCCAGGGTGCCTTGATAGTCGAAGCAGACTTAGTGCTGTTGAAGATATAGAGGTGAGCAGAGTAAGCCTGATTCCCTGTAGGGACTTCTCTGTTTACATCCACCCCTTGGCGCTCATATGACCTTATGCAGTCGCGAGCGCCATAAGAACTGTACGAAAAAAACAAAAACACCTCTAATCTTCAGTGCTTATGTGACCTTATTGTGTTGCACTTCTTTAAAACGCTTACTAAGACTAAACTAAAACTTATTTCTCCTCCTTTTCTTTGTATGTTTCTCTCTAGTAACTCCTTTAATCATCGGCTTTTATTTGACTCCTTTGTGTTGCAAGTGCCGTACCGGTAATACTCTTACTAAAACCAAACTAAGCAAGTGCCGTAAAACTGTCACTAAAACTTAACTGAAACCACCTTTTTCTTGCTTCGCCCCCCCCCCCCTAGAGTTGAGAATACTCCAGAAAAGTCATCCCTCTCCGCTGACGTGTCCATGTCCTCGACGGGAGAGTGCTCGCAGACACCTGCGTCCTCGGCAGCACCGTCGTCTGTTGGCATGACGAGTACGCCCACAATGTCCATCAACACCTCCTCCTCCTCCTCCTCTGCGCTGGCATTCCCAGGATCCTCGTCGTTCAGCGTGGCGGCCCCCACCCCGGCTCCTGCCTCCTCGCACGCTCACAAAACAGGGGAGAAAAACGCCTCTGCTCTTCCTCCCCCCTCCTCCTCCTCCTCCTCCTCCTGTTTGTCGTCCTCTTCAACAGCGGCCCCTGAAGCAAAAAAGTTCAAGGATTCGTCGACGCAGTCGGACTACAGTAACAGCAACGCTGGCGTGCTCTTATGCCCAACCTCCACTGCCGCCGCCGCCCCTCTTCCCTCCTCCCACCCCTCCTCCTCCTCCTCCCCCCGCACACACAACGTTGGCCCCCAGCCCGGGTCTTGCTTCCAGCCCCCCGACCCCTCCTCCCCTTCCCCCTCAGCCTCCCCACTGACGTACAGCAACACTGCCCCGCCACGCGGCTCACCGCTGTCTTCTGTTCCATTCCTGGAACCTCACCCAAAGAGTGTGACGGAGGAGGAGCTGAGAGTGCTTCAGGACTGCTTGCGACGCTGGAGACAGGAAGTGGAAGCTGATGTCAGAGGTCTGTACCCAATTCGCTTCCTCAGAATTACAAAGTTCTTTCTTAAATTTTTGGGCCGTTTTGAGTTCCTCAGACCATGAGATCACAAACCAAATATTCTGTCTGCTCTATCAAAAGAGTAAGATTATTCGGATTCATTATCAATACATTCAGAGAATTGTATTCGAAAAAGCGTGACATGATGTGAAACTCAAAAACAAGGTGCTTAGCAATTAGAAGTTGTTTATTTTCGGAGCTATAAGTCCTGTGAGCAGTCGGAGGGTGCTCATCATTCAGAACTTCAAGTTTGCAGGGTTCTTATAGTTCATTTCACTTAAGATTTCAAGGTTCAAGGGAAGTTGGAGGGTGCTGATTGTTCAGTTTTATTCAGGATTTCGAGGCTTGGAGGTGGTTGTACTGTGTTTAATGTTCAATTTTGTTATGGATTATGGCACAGAGAAAATTTTCTTTGGTTTTTTTAACATCTGTGGAGATTTAACATGACAAAAGTAAGGATGGATCAGGATACATGTATGTTGTTACTTTAACGTTGTGTCTGGGCTCATCAACTGGAACTAAAAGAAAAATGAAAATCATGCTTTCTTTTTACAAACATTTTTAGGGCTATAAAGAGATGTTGAGATGTATGAAATGAGCATATATTTTTTTTCTTTTTTACGAACTTTTTCAGAGATACAAAGAGATATTGTTCTAAATTAAATGAGCATTATGTTTCCTTTTTACAAACTTTCTCAGAGCTACAAAGAAACATCTCCACCCTGAAAGGCAAGCTGGATAGGATGTACTCCGACGACTACATGAAAAAGGTTTGTGGGCATTATTTGATTTCGTCAGGGGTGCCTTTTTTCCAATGTTATTTCTGTTATTTTCACTTAATTCAATTTTTTTAATGGTTATTTTATTCACAGCATATCGATTGTTTAGTGCAAGACTCCTCCATATACTATTTTGAAAAGTGATGTATGATGAAGTCTTACTCGGAGCAGTTGATTTGTTTTCTTTTAAACTCCATATTAGTTTTTTTCTATAAATTGTCTTTTTATTAATTGGTTGTGCAACTTTGCAAATTTTAATGTTATTCTAAGAAACTCCCAGTGGCATCCCTGTGATGTAAGTGGCGGGTGGTGTGAGGGTGCCCCTTGCAGGTCCTGCTTCTTTTTTTTCCCCTCTTTTGTTTTTATGACTGTGTGTTTGTTTTGTTTTGTGGTTTCCTTGCACCAAATGACCCTTATTGTTATAGTGATGATGTTTTATTACTCTACCAGTATTCATGCAATGCTTCAAGATTTTTTTTCTCCTTCACTTAAGTCTGTACAGTGCCTTACTAATTGTATTTTTGGTTGGAGAGCGCCACTGGTTGGTCCTACTTCTTTAATTTGCTTCTGTTGTTTCTGTCTGTCTGTCTTACTTTTTCCCGGCACTAAATGACATTTTTTTTTTTTGTGGGTGGTTGGCAGGTGCTCTGGTGTAGTTTGCTCCTTGTTTCCTATCAAACATCTATCGTTCTTATCTCTCCTCCTTTTTCCTGCTTGCTACTCTCTTGCAACACCTCTAATCTTCAGCACTTATATGACCTTATTGTGTCACAAGTGCCGTAAAACTCTTATGAAAACAAACAAACAAGGTTTTATTTTTTGCTTCTCTACCAGTTAACACACAATGCTTAAGGGTTTGTTGTTGGGTTCTTTTTCTCCCCCCCCCCACCCCACTCACATACCCCCACCAGTACCCTTACCACCTGCACTCTGTTCTGGTGCACGAGGGCCAGGCGGTGTCCGGTCACTACTGGTCCTTCATCTACGACGACCGCCGCTCCAAGTGGCTCAAGTTCAACGACATCACCGTCTCGGAGTCCTCGGAGGAGGAGATGCACAAGGAGAGCGTGGGCGGCTTCCACAACGCCAGCGCCTACTGCCTCATGTATGTCGACCGCTCGCGGCTGGAGCGGGGTCAAGGTCAGTAGTAGTTGGTTGTTTTTTTTACTTTGATCATGTAGAGGATTTTTACATTCTCAAGATAGATATGCGACCTTTGATGTTGTTTTTTTCTGTTTGTTTTGGATTTTGGTCAGCCAGAATCTCTCTCTCTCTCTCTCTCTCTCTCTCTCTCTCTCTTTCTCTCTCTCTCTCTCTCTCTTTCTCTCTCTCTCTCTCTCTCTCTCTCTCTCTCTCTCTCTCTCTCTCCCCCCCCCCCCCCCCTCTCTCTCTCTCTCTCTCTCTCTCTCTCTCTCTCTCTCTCTCTCTCTCTCATATATTAGATGTACAAACAATCTCGTCAGAATAGTTCTGGACTTTTAAAAAATTTTCTCGTAGCCAGTTGACACCTTCTGTTTTAAACCTCAGGTGACAGTAACACCAGTGCTAAAGCCGCGCACGACCTTCTGCCCAGCCTGCCCCTTGACCTCCGGCGAGCGATCGAGGAAGACAACGCCGTCTTCGACCAGGAGATACTGTCCTGGGACGAGGAACAGCGGAGAAAAGTGGCAGCGACCTCGGCGGCGTCTAAGTCGTCGTCGGTGTCCACAGCCACGCAGCCAGCCTCGACCTCCGCTTCGTCGTCATCTCTGCCGTCCACCGTTCAGCAGCCCTCGGGGTCGACTTCGACCTCGACCATGACCCCCACGACATCCTCCTCGTCTCAGTCGTCCCAGTGGCGTCTGGTGTCGGAGATGTGGGCGGAGAACCCGGAGCAGCCAGCTTCAAGGTCGTCAAGGTCACGGTCAGATGATCAGGACGTGGTATTCACGGGAGAGCAGCGACCAGGTGAGGGGGGGTTGGGTTTTTTTTCCATTTTAGAACGAGATTCTTACAGCACTTGAAACACAATCGGGTGATATTATATATTGTGAGCACCGAAGATTGGAAGTGTTAATAGAGTGTAACATACAAACGCTATAGTATGACCATTATTGTGTCGGTGTTCTTCTCTGTACTCTAAATCAAACTTGACACACACGCTTAGATCTTCCTGTCCCAGTTAAGGGTGGTTGACAGGTGCTCTGGTGTGGTTTGCACCTTCTTTCATATTAAACATCTATCGTCCTCATCTCTCCTCCTTTTTTGTGTTTGTTACCCTCTTGTAGCACCTCTAATCTTCTGCTCTTATATGACCTAATTGTGTCACAAATACAGTAAAATGCTTACTGTAAAAAAATGTTTAAGTCTTGCTTCTTCCCTGCATTATACAACTGTTACTGTGTCGATGTGCTTCTCTTTACTCAAACTCAAATTTGGCGCACATGCGTGTCGGGGACTCTCGTAGTCTAGAGGTACAGTGTTCGCCTCTCATTCAATAGGTCTGGGGTACAAAACCTAATAGTGATGGAAAATTTTCTTCTCTTAAATTTTGTCCTTTCACATCCTTTCTTTCTTTCTAATCATGTTCTGTCATCACTTTGCGTCTCCACTTTCTGCCTCCCCTCTTTCCCCCCTCCTCTGAGCTCTGGACTCTTTCTACTGTGGTAGGTAAGATCTAACACATAGCTTTCCCGGAGAAGGGTGAAAAATTTCAGAAGTACCGTGTGCAAGTTGTGCACTTTAAAGCGCCATTGGTGGTCCTAAAATCGATGAAAGTATGCTTCAGCAGCCACTGGGGCAAAATTCAAAATTCCTTCCAAACTGAAAAATAGAACAATTAATTCCATCTTTTTGGACAATAATCATCCCTTGTTCCCTCAAATAAAAATATCAGTCACAAGTAAAAGACCCAGGCTTCTGATATGTAACAAAGAAAGATACAGAAGGTCATTCTTACCATCATCCATCAAACTTCTTCCATCTTAATCACCTTGTTATAAGTATTCATATGACCTTAGAGCATGCATCAGAATACCATTGAGTTACAATCATAATACTGAGTGTATATCAGCTTAATATTATTATTGTTTATATTACTGTTCATTTATATTAGCCTTGTGACTGTGAGCCTGTTTGTGAGTGCACGCACACTGCATGTGTGTGCATGTTTGTGAGTGTATGTTTGTACGTGGTGAAACACCGAACCAATGTGCCAGGATCTTAACAATAACAGTGCATCTTATCTTATCTTATGACCTTATGCCCCAACCCATGCGTGTTCCCATCCCAGGTGAGGTGACCATCATCCAGCCAATGAACTCCTCCTTGTCCCACCTGGCCAAACTGCACGCCCAGCTCTCCCTCCAGGCCACGCTTTCCGCCGTCACCCAGAGTGGCCTCTCGGCCGTTCCCGGCGTGACCCCTGACGAGGTCATGATCAAGGTGAGGGTCACATGATGGATATTGTGAGTGTGAGTTTGGGGGGGGGGGGGGTGTCAAGGAAGGGCAAAGTGAGGGTCGGATGATTTGGGGGGGGGGGGGGTGGTCTAGGAAAGTCAAGGTCAGGTTATGGAAATTGAAGGTCGGGAATGGGGTCCGGTCTAGGAAGGTCAAGGTGAGGGGCAGGCAGAAGTGGGGGCAGGGAGATTATTTTATTCTCCTCCTCCTCCTCCTCTTCTTCTTTTTCTTCTTCTTTTCTTCTTCTCCTCCTCCTCCTTCCTCTTCCTCTAAAGAAATACAAGATGTTAAAATGCCAAAAAACACAAATTATCTCAACCTGTCAACTCACATGGGGTTTTTTTGGTCCGCCCTCCCATCAGTCCCTGGAAAGGGAGCTCCAGCGTTTGAAGAGCGCTTCCAAAACCTGGCTGTCCAAGCAGTCATCGGAGGACCCGCGGCTGGACCACATGGTGCTCTACCTACTGTCCAGCGCAGCTGACCTCAACACCATCAAGGTGGTGCTCAGCGAACAGTTCTCTCTCTGCGAGATGCTGGACACAGTCAGCAGGTCAGTGCGGGTTCTTTGAAAAAATAGAATGATGATGAGTAAAATAGAGTAAGGTGGAAAGTGTTTGTTGGTGGCCTATACCCTGGTGCAGGGTGAGAAAGGCAATGATGATGATGATGAGTAGAATAAAGTGAAACTGCATGGTTATCGATTTCCATGAGGGCAACTTGGTTTACAATAGCATCGATAAACATGCATACATGAATGCAGTCGAATCTGTTCAAGATGGCTGCTCATTGTCTTAGACAGGTGGATGTCTTGGACTGTATCATTTTAATTTTTTTTAAACAGAGAAAAGAGGTCCTTAGTATAAAATACTAATCTGGGGCCAACTGGTCGCCCCACAGCTCGTGTTATAGTAACACTGCGTGTGTTGTGTGAGCTCATTAATGTGCAGAGCAACGCGCGCAGTCGCTGACCTCGATTCTCCGACGATGCACTAAGGCCGAAGAAGGATTGCAGCGTCTCGGTATTTATGGTCTCTGGCCCCGCAATCACAAAAATGAAAAAAAAATTTTTTTACAATTTAGAGTTTACATTAATTTGATGAGAAAGCACATTCAATTCTGCATGTAATGTGTAAAAGACACCTCATTCTGTTCCAAAATAAAGAAATGAGGGCCGTTCTACATTCTACAAATTCTCCGTTATTGCCCTTAAATCTGCAAATTTCAGAGCGAGAATTTTATAATAAAACCATCTATTTCCATGCGTATTAAAAAATTTTTAAGTTTATTTAGTCATTTTTATTTGATAAAAAATACCGTACAAAATCTTTCTTTATAAAGGTAAATTTATTTTATGGGCGACATATCACATCATCAGCCGTTGTATAAATTTATACGGTATAGTACTGCATGAACTGCTGGGAGATAAAACAGGTTCGACTGTAATAGAAAAAATAAGTAAAATTTTGCTATCAATTCCCATGAGGAAAGTTGGTTTACTGTGATAAAGTTACCCACGTACGTATGCAGTCTAACCTGTCCAAAACAGCTGCACCTTGTCAAGGAGAAAAGCAGTCATCTTAGACAGATGGTCATCTTGGAACATGTCATCATAAAGTAAGAACGTTGCAAGAGGGGTGGTCGTTTGTACAGGTGATTGTCTTGGACAGGTGGCCATTTGAGCAGCGGATTAGACTATTTTGATACTCATTTTTTTTAAAGGTTTCAGCATAGACCTCTCTTTGCCACTTGTTGACTACATTTTTTTCCAACAGAAAAAAAAGCTGTACCATCTTCTTGTCTTATTTTTTTCTTACAGAGTGAAGGGCGTGCGGCAGAAGGCTCAGGAGATGTACTCACAACTCTATCGTCAGTCTAGCGACGACAGCATCAAGAACTACAAGGTGATACTCTTCCTCTTCTTCTCTTTCTTCTTCTCTTTCTTCTTCTCTTTCTTCTTCTCTTTCTTCATCTCCATCCTCCTCCTCCTCCTCCTCCTCCCCATGTACTTCTTGTTTCTCCTCTTTTTATTCTTGTTCTTCCACTTGTTGTTATTGTTGTTGTTATTGCTCTTCTTTCTTCTTCTTCTTTCTTCTTCTTCTTCTTTCTTCTTCTTCTTCTTTCTTCTTCTTCTTCTTCTTCTTCTTCTGCTTCTTCTTCTTCTGCTGCTTCTTCTGCTTCTTCTGCTTCTGCTTCTTCTTCTTCTTCTTCTTCTCCTTCTCCTTCTCCTTCTCCTTCTCCTTCTCCTTCTTCTTCTTCTTCTCCTTCTCCTTCTTCTTCTTCTTCTTCTTCTTCTTCTTCTTCTTCTTCTTCTTCTTCTTCTTTCTGCATATGAAGGGCTTTATAGTTTATTACTTCTTTGTTTTGTTTTCGCTTATTGGCCATAGTCTTTACCCAGAAAGACCCTTGTAGAAGTGGCGTTTCGTGATATCTTCGCTAATTGTTGTCTCCCTTTGTCATTGTCTGATGGTTGGAGGGCTCCAATGGCAGGGCCTACTTTCTTTTTCTCTGTTGTTTCAGTCTTTCTAGTCTTACTTTTTCTGTGGACTAAATGACCATTTTTTTTGCCAATGTGCTTCTCTTTCCTCTAACGAACAGAAACAGAATGACTTTTGTAGAAACTGTCAGGTTGATTTGCTTCGCGACTCTAATCAAACAACACTGAAGATCTTTGCTGAATAATCAGTTCTCACTGTTGTCTCTTTGTCTATATCTGGAGAAAGATCTTTGCAGAATCACCATCTAGTTAATTTATTGTTGTCAGTATCTGCATCTTCTGAAAGGCCTTTATTGAATGACCATTTTCCTTATTCATTTTTGTCTACCTTTGTCCTCGTACTGAGAAAGACCTTTTTTGAATAACATGAGAAAGACCTTGGTAGAAAGAAGCACTGTTCTTTTATCTTATTGTTGTCTCCCTTTGTCCTTGTCTTAACCAATACCTTTGTAGAATTGCTGTTCTTTCAACTCATCATTGTCTCCCTTTGTTCCCTATCTTCCTCAGTTCTGTAGGTGGTTGGCGAGTGCTCTGGTGTGGTTTACTCCTTCTTTCCTCTTAAACATCTATCGTCCTTATCTCTCCTCCTTTTTTACGTTTGTTGTTTCTCTCTTGTAACACCTCTAATCTTCGGCATTTATATGACCTTATTGTGTTGCAAGTGCCGTAAAACTCTTTACTAAAACTAAAACTAAATTCCTCAGTTCTGGCACAAAAGGTACCACCACTTCAGGCAGGCCGTCTTCATGTTCAGTGTGGCTGTGGATGCGTATTGTGCTGACAGGTAGGTGTGGCAGTGTTTCATTATATTTGGCCTTGCGGGGTAGAAAATTACTTAAGTCTAAGCTTCCGCTGTTACATCTGTCCTCATGCTGGTTAAAACCGGTCGCTTTTAAGATCAAGGGGGCCATCCCGAAAAATGCTGTTTTGAGAAAATCGAAAGTATAAGTTTTTTACCCTTGTTCAGTTTCTTTAAAAGACAAGGAGTTTTCTCTATAACCAAACAAATATAAGCACCAATTATACCAAACTTCTCCTATAGATAGAACAATGGCCACTTTTGGTGCAGGTCCAGATTTCTGGAAACCCCCGAAATCTGGGTTATCCCGCTTGTCCTTAAAAGCAACCGAATATTTTGTGAAATACAGTTGAACCTGTTTTAGACAACCATCCATTGTCGAGAAACCACACGCTCGTAAGGCCGCAGTGCTGTGTTTACGCTACCTACATTTATGTCTATTAATCTTTTTCCTTACACCAAAAAAATCATTGTGTTGGTAAGCTTCTCTTTACTGAAAAACTAAGGGATAACAAAAATGGGGAAGCTTCAATTCAATACTTTGGTATCAATCTTCTTCTCTTCTTCTCGATCGCATCTCACTTGAAGTCTGGTATCTGTCATAAATTGGGCCGTCCTGCTCAGTTGATCTGTCGGCCGGTATAGCTTCTCTTGTAGCGTCAGTGGGGTTGGCCACATTTCCTTTCTCAGGGCCCTGTGTGTCTTGCTTTGGTATCAATGTGTCTGGGAGTTTTTATCTTGGTGTATCCCTTGATATGCTCTCTTCATTGAAAACACTTAAGGCTCAAGAAACGGGCAAGATTCAACACTGATATCAGTGTGTGTTTATTTCTGTCTGTGTGTTCCATCGACAGGTTCCAGGAGGCCTTGCCCTACTTCAACCAGGCCTGGCTTCACAACTGCGAGCCGGACGTCCCCAAGTCCATGATGAACTCTGGGGGTCAAATTGATCCCAAGATGTTGGCTTCTCTCCGCAGGAGATGTCTGCAGGTATGCCCCTTTGATTTTTTAGATTAGTAAGAGTTTTAAGGCACTTACAACACAGTTTGGTCGTATAAATGCCGAATATAGTTTGTTAGATAAACGATTGAATCTGAAAAAGGATGGATTGCTTGAGAAAGGTCCCGAAAAGGTTGTATGTATTAACAGCCTCGTCGTAAGAAATTTACAAGAGCATTTTCAGCAAAGACATTTCTTCAAGGTACAGTCGAACCTGTGTAAGATGGAATCGCAAGGGAGCGGGGAATTTAGGGGGAGGTGGGGGGGGGGGGTCAAAGGCCCAGCTGGTGGGATCAAGGATCGCTTGTCTGATCGGCAAGCAGTGGTCAAAACTTCACACCTCTCAGCTGCTATCCTGTCTGATAATGACATGTGTCAGTCTTATGTATCCAATTACCACCAGTGCTTGCCTTTCATAGGACCACTGTTTAACCTATTAAAAACAGAAACGTTTGAACATCTTCTTGGCTTCCACCCACCAATGCCATCCGTCGCGGCAGGCATTGGTTAATCTAATTTCACACCTCTAGCTTCTGGTTACACAGGAAAGTTTCCGTAGGGGCTCGCTACTTGAGCACTCTCACGCGCGGTCGTGAGATATCACACCCTCACTACACTGACCATCTGTATTGCTCAGGGCTCACATGATGGGGTAACTTCTACCCCCATTTCACTCCTACTCCCCTTCCTTGCCCAGCGGCATGGCCTTGGCGTTAAGTTTAGAGCTGGCGGAACCAAACTTGCGAGTTTTGTTTCAAATCAGGGCTGAGCGGGCAAAGCATTTTCCGTCTTAGACAGGTGAAACCCTCGGAAGGGAGGGGATTTTTCTTTCCGTTTCCGCTTTGGACAGGTTTCCGTTTTATACAGGTGATTGAAGAGGAATATATCAAGGGGGGAGCGGGGAGATTCCGTTAAGACAGGTTTCCGTTAAGGCAGGTTCCACTGTACACTCATGATCTGTGCTAGAATTGTCCCATGTAAATTTCTTCCACTGAGACTTTTCATACCTCCTTTTTTTTTTTTTTTTTTTTTCTTTGGTTTGTTAGATTTTGAAATCTAGCATGTTTGATTTTAGTTGATTTGATCACATTGTGCCAAAATGATAGCGTTTGCCCCTCCATGAAGGGAAATGTGGCTTCCCTCAAATATATCATAATAAAAAAATATTGAGATTTGAAGAAATAAAGAAACTGTCTGCAATGTGCACAGGGTAATAGGACACGACCTTCGAAGCAACACGAGGTAGGGGGTTTCTTTTATCTAGTGTCTAGGTTTGTCTGCTGGGATCGTGGATCCCACTGAAAGTGGATTGGCCCTCACAGGAAAAGTCAAACAGCCCGTTCCCTAAATCATCTTATTTGTGTTGATGACAATCACAGAGGTTGACAATAAAGGTATTTGAAGGGGGGGGGGGGGGTTGAAAAAAGGTTTAGAACAAATCGCTACCTGAGAATTGCAAAGTTCTCTCTGACAATTTTGGCTATTTTGAGTTACTAAGGCCATGCAATCAAAAACTAAATGTTTTATCTGCTCAATCAAAAAGATTTTTCAGAGTCGTGATCAGTACATTCAAAGAATTACATTCGAAAAAGCTTGCCATGATGTGAAACTCAAAATCTTTGACGTCAAGTTTCTTAAAACGAGGCACTGAGCAGATAGAACTTTGTCATTCATAGGTAGCGAAATAGGAAAGAGAGGAGGGGATGAAGGAGCTATATTAAAATAATAACTCAAGTTGTGTTGGAAATGGTGTAAAGTAAAAAAGTTTTTTTGTGTGTGTTTTTT